TTAACTTAAAGACAGAGGTGGCCGAGATCACAGATCCCTCCCTTAGGTACAAGTGGTTGACTTGGGGTTTCCAAACCAGAGTCCAATCCATAACTCCCATCCAAGGCCCACACTTGATTTTGCATTTATTTGACTCAAAGTAACTATATATTCTTCCATTTAACTCTAAATAATCCTGCATTCTTTTAATATACTTCTTATCCCTTGGGACTGTGCAATTTTTATGGATATTAAACTTTAATTGAATTCTGGTTCTCTCTCAGAGCTTTGTCTGATTATTCAGTCGTGACTCCCAAAGTCATTCTCCAAGGTCAAGCGGCTCAGCCCCCACCTGCTCATGCTACATTACCTGCTATGATCCCTGAGTCCCTAGGAATGGAAAAGGAGGCTTCCCCAAGATGTATCCTCCCTTCTACCCGGCGAGGCTAAGGAAAAAGTTCTTAAGCTTCGTACATTGTCCCAGAGATATTCTGGGGGTAACCATGGCACTACAGCCTCCTACCTCCCACCCTTCTGGAGCAGGCACTGCAGGGACCAAGGTCTGCTGAAGAACATGGTTCACATAATAGACACTGGAACAAACCCCTAACCTCCTAGAAGGATGATAGGACATAACCAAGGTCACCAGCCAGTGCCTGAGCTAAGACTAAAACCCAGGACTCCCAACTGCCAGCCCTGTGCTCTTGCCATTTAACCTCAATGCCTTCAACAATAGCAAAGTAAGCCAAGTCACGAAGAAGCTCACAGATCACAGCCCCAACCAACTAGCCCAGTCATTAGACAGAATGTGCTACGTACAGCCCTTTCGGTTGCTTGGTAAACATCATAGAAATAGGCATGGTTCCTGCCCTTTCTAAAATAAATATGCATACCTTGTATTTGTATTTTCACACTAGGGAGAAGCAATAATAAGAAATGACTTTCAGCTACGGTGGGACTAGGGGGTAGGGCTGGGCCCTAACAAGCAGAGGCTGGAGGAGAGAAAACAAGGCATCGGGTGGCCTCTAGGGGTTCCAGCCTTGGGGGAAGCTCTTACAAAAAAGTCCTGTACACAATGGGCCCTCCAAAAGCCAGAATGAAGATGCTCCGGTTCCTCCATCATCAACATTTGGAAGAACCACTGATGGTGCAGGAACAGGACAGCTAAGATGGAACTTAAAACTTCCTGGTGCCTTGAGCCCCAAGCCATCTCCTAGGTTCCCGTCCATCCTCATATTGTCTCCTGGGGCCCCTGATGACACTTTCTCTTTCCCACATGCCACTGTCTCCTCATCAGCCTGGTATGCAAAATCACCAACATCTTTCCCACCAGCTGGCTCCAAAAGAAACCCACGATGCCTCTTTGGGTATTATGACTATTAGACATGGAGAAAGTGACAGCTGTAATCGAAACCAACAAACGTGAAAACAGAAACATTCTCAGAATTCTTTGAAAGTTCTGCTGCTGTCACACTTGGCTGTCACTGGATCCTCAGTGGGGCAGTGTCCTCGACCTCTTGACTGGGTCTCTGCCTATCTTATGGCCCAGAAGGGAAGACAGGCAAATACAAGCCATGGGGGTGCAGCGGAAGAGGTGCTTGGCAGGCGCCCCTCCCCTTCCCTGTCATTCCAGCAGCATCCAGCCTCCCTCCATCTCCAGCTGTGCCCCACCTCCTCTCTGTCCCTCCCCTCCTAGAGCCCTGGTAGCCCTGTCCCAGGAGCTCCTTGCTTCTCCTCCAGGCTCCCCAGGTCCAAGTGGGACTCACCCACCACCCAGAAAACATCCCAACATCTGTCTGCTTAGTCAGCACTTGATAAAGGATTGTTCAATAAAAAGAAACATTTCCAACTAAATTACAAATAACCTCAGCAGAGGTCTTAAATTTTAAATCCTCCTTCTAGAACATACACCCTACAAATATTAAAGTTTCCTCTTCGCACAAGTGGTGAATCACACAACTGATCAAGTTCTCTCTCAGATAATTATACCATCTATCTATCTGGAACCCAAACTCCTCACCCTGGGTTTCCTATTTGCCACATTGGATTGCATCCCCTGTTCGATGCTTGCCCAGAACCTGTTTGTTATTTTCAGCAATGGCTTAAGCACCAGCTACATGGGCAGTGTTCTGGCGCAAGTGCCCTTGAGTTCTGTTTTGTCTTTCCACTGCTGCTCAGAATTCCCTTTGAGAACTCCAAGTGTCAACAGGCACGATCGTTATTTGAGTCACCTGATACGATACAAGAAAAGATGTCACAGCGGCTGCCAAACGGGACACATTATTGCCAGGTTCTGTGCCCTAAAGGAGGGGCACAGGGCAATCCAAGCAGATGGTCTGTGAGCTCTGACAGCCAGAAGCTTTCACGAGGGCAGGAGACTCACAAGTGAGCTGAATCTTCAGCACGGAGCAAGGAAATGCCAACCACCCTCTTTGCTCAAAGTCAAAGAATGAATTAGCACTTCTCTGGGCCTGAAGTGGGCTTGAACTTGTGCAAGGATACTGAAAGCGTGGGGCAGCCTCCCAGGATGTGGCCATAACCCTGCTGGGAAAGCCACAAGGCGGGGACTAAGATGGCAACGGGCCTGCTGTCCTCCCTATCAGAAGGGTCCTGCACCACCTTGGATGTGCCCACTTGCCAAACAGCTTCCTCTGTAAAGCAGACGGCAGCTTGGCCTGTCACTCAAAAGTACCATGGCTTCTACACGCCCCCTCTTAGTTCCCCAGAACTGTGCCACCCAGCCGGATGGGGCTCCTTTCCACTGGCTCTCCCTCTACACTTGGAAGAAGGTGGCCTCAGTCTAGCTGCAGCCCCTCCGGAGGATAGAGTTGGAGGGTCAGTGAAGAGAAAGCCAGAGAAAACACGAGGCTACTAAGGCTTCAGGACAAACTCTGAACGTCCCCAAATGTAACCATCTCTGCCTTGATCTCTGAAAGGTCAGGCCAATTGTCGTCCTGTGGGTTTGTTACTGTTCCATCACCCCTTGCCTTTCCCTGGCCCCCACTGTCACCCTGTCCTCTGCCATCCCCCAAGAGACCCATGCCTGGTAAACGTTTGGGCCGCTGCAACCCCTAAGCACTTCAGAGCCTCCACGGGCCCCCACCCTAGAATCGCCCCCGCCCAGACCCAGCTCCGCGTGCGTGTTGGCCAGCTCTGGTCTTGTACTTCACCAAGCTGCACCTTCCGTCCCTTGAGGGGGCGACGGGAGAGGGGCATAAAGGCGGTGGTTTTGTGGTCTCTAAGGTTCGAGGCTCTTGAGCCTTATTCATATCCTTTTCCATTGAGGGGCATGTTCACAGTCAGAAATGATGTCCAGTTCAAACTTTCACTGAAATTTGTTCACTTACTGTTCTAACTGAAGCCTCAGGGCCTAGTTACTCCGGCGACCACCCTGACCCACCAGCCCAGACCAACACTCATTCCTTATTTCAAAAGGCCCCGCCCTCTTGCTGCTCGTTGCCCTACTGAGCAACGCCCACGCTTATCAGCTATTTGCCAACCAGAGATGATTGACACAATCTGTGTCCAATGAAGAGCCGAGTCTTTAGGTAGCTACTTTCTCTCAGGGGCTCCGGAAGAAGCGGGTTCCTTTCGGGGAAGTGGGTGGTGGGTCTCAGCATCCTTCAGACCCCCGAGGGAAGCCCGCCCACACCGAGGCCCTGACAGCAGGCAAGGCAACCTGATCCAGAGCTCAGGAAAGGAAGAGTCCCGCGCGCGAAGCTTCCCAGCCAGGCCCACCTGTATGTGTGGCCCCCGCCTTCTTCGCGTTTGCTCTGCTCTGCACGTCTCAGTTCTAGTTCTTTTGTGTTTGACCTTCACTTTGCACTTTGGCAAAGTTCCTCTGAAATGCCACCTGGCCTTGGTCAATCTAAGGGAAAGGAATCTTGTCTTCACAGAGGCCAAGGGAATCAGTTTGGAGCCAGAGGCAGCGGGAGGCCACCGTGGTGCCAGAGACCAAAGTGGCCGACCGGGCTGAAATACTTCAGCCTGAATGACAATCCGGGACAGCTGGAGGGGCGCATCTCTTCCTTTCGAACAAAACAGCCTCACAGCGGTGTGTCCCTTCTCTCTTGATCAGCTTCAGGGCTCTACCTGTTGGCCTGAACACCTGTGGGGAAACTGGGGGAAAGGATAAGGAAGAAGCAGGGCCAGCTCCAGAGGAAATGGCTAACCTGGGGTGGAGGCATTCCCGGCTGTAGATGCTCAGAGCTGCCCAGGGCTGTGGAAGTCCATGGAACCTCTCTGCCTCACCCCCTTATCTCCCCAGGTGGAACTAAATGTGTTTGAATGGGATCTTTGACCACAGTGGGTCCACCAGGTGGCAGTGCTACCCATGCCCAGTCCGGTCAGAGCCTGCAGTGTGAGAGAGCAGCCACCAGAGGGCAACACAGGGACAACCGTTCAACCACGCTGCTGGTTGCCTAGCAGCTGTGACGCAATGGGCTCCCAGTTTGCACCCTCCTGGAGGCCTCCCAGGTTATTTCTGGCATGACAGACTGTTGCACAAGGAGTGGCCTCAGAACTGCCTCTCTTTTAAGCCTGGAGACTAAAACGGTCCAGGACCCCAAATCCAGCACCACCCTGGCGTCTAGGGGATTGGGCAGCTCCTGTCCCTGCTCCTAGGAATGCCAAGGATCAGGGAAAGAAAATAAACATTTTCCATTCCCCTCTGTGGCCCCACAGTCAGTGGCACGCTCCGATTTCCCTAGTGGCTAAAGCAGAGCAACCCCCCTCCCCCGCCCTCTCCTTCTAAGCAGGGGCTGGATTAACAGTGTATGACCTTGAGCCAGACCTTGAGCCTCCAGCTCCTCAACTGTACTTCAGAGGGATCGAGAGAGTGATGATAAGGCCCAGCTCTGACCTTCTGTGGTCTTGATTCTGTCCCTTTTCCCCTAAGAAGTCTGTCCTTGCCTTGAAACTCTCCCTGATTTTGATGACCCTGAAAATAGAATTTTTCCAGTTACAGATGGATAAGTATGACCTGAGAAACCAGAGGTGGAACCAAGAAAGTGAGGCAGACACAAGACACGGAGTGTGGTTATAATGAGCTCAAAGCCTGTGCCTGTCTGGTCTGTGAAAGGGCCTGGGTGAGACGAGGTCAGCGCCTCAGGCAGAGTCAGGGGGCCACTCTGGCCGCGGCATCAGTAGTGGTTCCAGGCACGTCTCTGGGTCATGAGGCGCCCACTGGCCCTGGGACTAGGCTCTGACTGGGGCCGGGGTGTCGATCACTAAGGTGTCGGGGTCTCAGGGGCACCGCGGAGAGGTTCACACGGGCATGTGCAGCTCATTGTACTCATCCTGGCCATCTTCGTCAAAGTTTGGTTCAGCATCTTCAGAGTCCAGCTGTGGAATGGAGGAGAAGCTTGGGAGAGACAGGCACGCAGACTCACTGCCTCCCATTCCCCTGCAACTCCTCTGACCAGCAGCCCTCACTGCCCCCAGACCTTCCTAGGCCTGGCTGTCTACAGGGACTGCGGCCCCAGGCTGAAGCACCTTCCTCTGGCCAGAACCTTCAGGTCACCCCCCAGCAATACCTCCTAACAATGAGAATGACAGCAGCTACCACAGAGAAGTGCTTTCCTGGGGCTCCTAGCTCCTGCGGTGCCTTGGGACACCATGTGTGGGTGGGCGATTTTCAAAAAGATGTCCCTTCCCCTAGCTGATAAAAACAGGGCTCGGGATGGATTGTGGTGCCACCTCACCCCTACTTGTCCCTCAGCTGTGTGCTTTGATTCAGGACATGGCCTGCACAGCTCTCTATAGCAGCCCTGTGCTTTCTTCAC